AATCTGCCAAGTACCTCCACATAAAAACATTGCAAAACATTTTGTTAAAGAAAAACGCTTAAAATTAAGAATAAAATTGTTGTGTTATAACTCGTCTTATGTTTTTTACAGTGTGGTGAATGAAAGCAATCGGAAGTTCTACGAAAAAAACCGCAGATTTTAGGAAAATAATTTCGTTAAATATACGAACTATTTTGTGCATTTTACAAAAATTTCGTAAAAAAATAAGGAAATAGTACGAAATTCTTTAGTAAGTAGTACGAAATTCGTTCGTAAATAGTACGAATACGTTCGTAAAATGTACTAAGATCTGATGTCTCATATTTTCGTAGTATGTACGAAAACGGTTTTGTACAATCAACGAAAACTTTCGTGGCTCAAAATGACGAAAACTTTCGTAAAATGTACGCAAGTTTTCGTTATATCTACACAGATTTTATTTTCAGTGTAGAATATTGGAAATACACTCAAGATGAGTTCGGAAAAAATTTAAACCATAGTAACAAGAGATAAAGTGAAATTCTGCTCATTCCCGAAGGGAAATACAAGACCACCACTCTCTCTCATTAAAATTTCAATTGGATAATGGGATGGATTTCGAATTCATAACGAAGGGAAAATAGTTTTCGAATCGAATACTAACCTATTCCACATTTGTTACTGAAGTGGAGACTTGAAAAAAAAGATTCGAATCGGTTTTGATTTTTGTTTAAAAATTGCTTGTTATAAGAAAAATGAATTTTTCTCAACTTTTTTTTTCGTTTTGCCAGTTTTACAAAATTTTCATAAAAAATCGCTGTTTTATATTTTATAGAATTTTTTTTTGATTAAGGCGGAAAAGGTAAAAAAAATCAATATCGCGAAAAGGTATTTTTTTTCATTTCCGAACCATGGTTTCTTTTAAACTTACTCTTCGAATTATCTGAAGAATCAGAAATTACCATAAGATTTAGTCAAAAACAAATTCGCCCAGCCTAATGTACATAGATATGTATATCCATTCATAAGCATGTTTGTATATATTCGTGACTTTCCGCACGCGTTTTCTCGCCCATTGGCCCAAAGTAGGGAAGGAAAAATGAAAAAACAACGAATAGTGAAAACCAAAGAAATGCGCACATTGAGTGCCAATGATATCACACTACGCAGCGTGGCGAGAAAAATGATGAATTTTAATTCAAGTGGAGCGACTACGAGCACACTATCGATGCGCAAGATCATTGAGCGAGAAGAGACGAAAAATTCGCGCTAGTAATTGGAAGAGAGTTTGGCATAGAATGGAAAATTTATACTGCAATGAGTATAGCGTCAATAATTGCTGAAATTATGACTACTCTTCTACTCTCACGTTGATCAGTGCTGATCAGTGATCACTTACATACATATATGCCATCAGCCAGTAATGAATGACTGCCACCCACCAGCAGCTTCATCAGTCAGTGGCCAGCAGTTCACTGCCACCGCTCAAAAGCGCAACAATACTTACAATACTTCCACATATAGCTAAATTTGTTTAAAGTCGATATGGAACCGAACGTGGCGGAAACACCACAGCTGGTGAAAGTTAAGCTGCTACCCGCACTAAAGCCCGAGGAGCGCAAGCGGCATATTGTGGCCAATATAGTGCTGGAAGGTCAAACCTCAACTGTGCCGTACATCGATGATGCTAATAGTGTAATAAATGTGACACAACTGCAGGCGCTCGACGCTTCACCACCCGGGAAGGATGCGCGAAAGCGCATACGATTTTATTCGGTGGGGCCGCGTACCTATCACACCAAATGTCCGCTGTGTCTGCAATATGGTGATGCGGCTGTGATGCGTGCGGCAGGTCTGAAGGATGCAACATGTTGTCTATCGACGTTGTCGTGGTGAGTACTTAAGTGACGAAATATTTGGTTTAAGGAGAATAGACGAATTGTTTTCTCTATACGAAGTTTGTAATCGTAAGAACTGTCAGTAGTGAATTTATGGCATCATCAGTTAACATAGCTTGAACGTCCCCTAGTTGTGAAACGTGCCGAAGTTAGTTCTAAACCCAAAAAAATAAATTGTCCCGCTCTTTTCAGACCCACATATTCTCATTCGTATGTAAATATGTCTTAAGCATTTGAATGTTTTTTGTTATAACTGAGTTTAAATATTTGGGTCTAATATTAATACAAGTAAATTTTTTTTCTGCTGAAAAGTTTAAATTTTTTTATAAAATTTTATTATATAAAAAACAAATTTAAATATCATAAAGCTCATAAAAACTTTGTTCTAACTATTTCTTAAATTAATTTTGATGTGTGTACAAAAAATTTTTGTATTTTAGTTTTCTGTGGCATTATTCATGAAAAGGTTTAAGAAATACTTTTTGTACTTTTAGAGATGTAATGTGTTCAATAAATTAATATTAATAACGTTTTTATCTTTAGAATTTTTTTTGTTATTAAAATTTTCCTATTCTCATTTAAAGACTAATGAAAAAAATATTCGAATATTAAAGTTTTTAAAAAATAAGTCAAAACCTTAAAATAGACCTAAAAAACCTAAAATAGATTTAAAAAACTTAAGATAGAAGTTTTTTAATTGATATTTAGGTTCTAGTAAATATTTTAAAATAAGTGTATGAAAACAATTAACATTTCCAATCCCCTATTTTTCAGCTTCTTCCCAATTTTCTGGCTTTGCTGTATTTGTACTTGGTGTGGCTGCAATCGTGAATGGACGACGAAAGGCATCTACTGCAGCAAATGTGGTGGCAAATTGGGCATCCAACAGCAGCCTAAATAGGTGTGGTGAAACACTAAAATTTAATAAAATATAACACCGTGCGACAGTCAATTTTACACACGAAAAAATTAATATATTCACAAAACTTGGGGCCAAATATAGTAAAACTACGTTTCTAGTTTTTCTCTCTGACGTTTGGCATTTTTTTAAAATTACTTTGAAATTTCTAGAATATGATTGAATAAAAAAATGATTCAAAAGATTCGGTGCATTGTAGAATAACAATATGGGTATCAATTAAAAGGAAAAACTCTGTCGAATTAAAAAATTTATTTTTTGGTGCATCAGGACGAATAAGTGTTGCAAATGTACTTTTAAAACTTTATCCTTGGATATCCTTGGAAGTTTCCAACAATAATATGCTAGCTACCACATCCCCAAATTTCGTCCTTCTACCTTTATTAGTCTTAGATAAAAAATTTACACTTCTCTTTATAAGATATTGATAGTTACAATATACATAAATGAAGATACTGGAATCATTATTATGGAACTATGTATGCGGTCTAAAAGAACAAACTGACCGTATGATGTACCTACGGTTTAAATACTTTAATTCGCTACTTTCACTTAGGCAAAAGTTTATATAGAGGGAAAAAATGTTTTTAATTAATTTTTTTCGTGTATAAAAATAGAAATTTTCGAGTTTAAGAAAGTATAAGTTTTCTAGTAGCCTTTACATCGATACCACTTTTTAAAAAATCGGTTTTTAATTTTTTTTTGTATAAAATAGTTTTTTATAAAAAAATGGTATTTTTTGCTTTCAAGTGTTTTTTCTAACATTTTTATATACGAAGTATACAAATACGCATATCAGAAGAACGAAGGTTTGATTGCGTTTACAACGATATAAGTTTTTTTTTAAAAAGCGGTCAGTAATTTTTTTGTTTAAAGTATTTGTTTTATAAAAAAAGGTATTTTTTCCTTTTAAATGGTTTTCTCAAATTTTTACATACGAAATATGCAAATATGCATATCAGAAGAAAGGGAGTTTAATCATGTTTACAACGATATTGGGCCGTATGAATAAAAATAAGCAATTGCTTTTTCTTAAAATTTCAGTTCATTTACTCAATTTATTCAATCAAAATTGAAGTAAAAGGTATGAAATTTTAAGAAAAAGCAATTGCTTAGTTTTTATTCATACGGCCCATTATTATTTTTTAAATCAGTTCAAAATTGTTTGAAATATAAGGTTGTTAATTTTTCGAAGACCCCTTATAGCACCTGTAATATAAGTTTGCAAAAAAAAGTTATAAACCTTTTAAATAAGAGAAGAAAGGCGGACTACGTCTATATTTTTAGTTTTTTAGTTATTTAAATATAATAATAAAATATTATTTTTACCAAAGGTCCCATTTCGAACTTCGAAGGCCCATATCTCGATTTCGGAGGCTAACTTAGAAAAACGGAGAAATTACTTTTTACCTATGACTCAATCTCTTACAAAAAATTGGTTTGGTCCAATACCGAGCCGAGTGCTCTAAAGTGTAATGATTCCAGTATCTTCATTTATGTATATTGCAACTATCAATATCTTATAGAGAAGTGTATCTAAAACTAATAAAGTTAGAAGGGCGAAATTCGAAGATCTGGTAGTTTGCATATTAGTCCTTGACATATATTTTTATATATACTCTGCAATGTACCAAATTTTTTAAATAATGTTTTATGCAATCATATCCTAGAAATTTCAAAGTCCTTTAAAAAAAATCCTGACGTCAGAGAGAAAAATTAAAAACGTAGTTATACTATATTTGGCTCCTAGTTTTGAGAATACATCGATTTTTTGTGTGTTTTAAAAATTTTTGGTTTTTGTCGCTCGGTGTAATAGATGTAATGACATTATAAGTAGTTTTAAATGTAACGAAATTTAATTTATCGACTAATTAAAAACGAGTAAAATCACAAAAGCAATAACAACAAAATAACTATTTAAACAGTGCTACTATTAAATAAAATTTGTTTACAACGCGCGCTTTCACAAATACCTTATTAATAAATCTGGTTGTTAACAAAATTCGCATTTTTCATTGCTCGCGTTAGTTTGTAAATACATATGTAAGTATTACGAAAACATTTCATATATTTGTTTGTTTTCGACGACCTGTTGTCGACCGCAACGTCCACATCATGCTTGATCTTCAAACTCTTAGCGCTCTCAGAGTATCGCTGTGGGTGGCAGATCACTTTCGCTTTTCATCTGCATGCCATCTCTCCCACTCAGTACAACGCGCGCAATCTATACAGCTTTCGCTCGCGCTCACTGCGCCACGATCATTGTTCAACGCATCGCGTCGATTGACTTCAGTACGTTTGCTCTTGTGTCGGATGTGAAATCATAGCGCTCGGGAACTATTTATTAAATTTTATTTTTGTTTTCGTGCCGTAAATTTTACCTAATATATTCAAATACTGTGAAAGTAAAAAAAACACATATTATTTCGAGTTAACACAACGTTCGCAAAATGATGACCGAATCCACCTCACCGCCAACAACACCTGCAATAGATAGTAAAAACACAGCAGGTGCTGGGGATAAGAATGCACTAAAGCAGCTGTCGGAAAAGGAACTTAAGGAGCAACAAATTTATAATAATTTCGCCACGCCACTGATTGGCACTTATCTAAATCTGCCGCAAGATCCGGTGAGGCTGAAATGTCCTGCTTGTGGAATTGTTGAAATGACACAAGTTGAAAACGATTTGAAGTGGTGGGCGACGGAGATCAATCGCTTTGTGGGGTGTTTATGGGTGTAAGTTAATAGAAACAAAAAAAAAAGAATAGTAATAAACACAAAACTATTAAAAAAATGTGCCTTTATAATTTTTTTAATTAATTGAATTTTTTATCCCTGTCTCGATCCGTTTGACATGGTAAGTCCCTCTAATAAAATAAAAATAACACGGCTTAGCAAAATTTGGACTCGTCGTGTAGATAGATTTTTTGATGCTGATTTGAAGTTCATTTACAATTTTTTTTAGTGCGTCTATTTCTTGCGAAAAAGCTGGAAAGTGACGAAATATGGCATAAATGGAAAATTTCAAAAATTAAAAAAATAGGAGTTTGGACGTAGTTTTTCCTGCCGAAAAACGCGTATAAAAGAAAATCGGAATCGTCTCATGGAGTTTACCTTATGTTGATGAGTTGAGTAGAAATGAGTTAAAAAATCGCGGAAAAGTAAAAAAAAAACAAGTAAAATCAGTTTAAGTTCGGGTGAAGCCGAACAATAAATACCCGCTGCTTTTTTCACCATTCCGAAAGCTACCGTTACATGGCAAGCAGGCAGTGGTTTTACCCCTTTATCAAACATTTTCGATAGTATGTTTAGTTAGACTTAATGAGATAAACTTGTGTATTTCAGTAAATATTGGATTCAAATAGTTGAAAATTAGGATGTCAAGTAAAATTTTGGTACAAAATAATATTATTATTTTTGGAAAATGGGCGTGGCGCCGCCCACTTATGACCACAAATGTGTATCTCCGTAACCGATTTATCAATTTCAACCAAACTCGGTGCACTTAATAACCTTGGTACGGAAAAGCAACTCGTTGAAAATTATTCAAATCGGAATAAAATTATACCCGCTTCCTGTACAACGGTAAATTTTAGGAATACGAAAACTCCGATATTTCATTAAGTAATTTTTTTCCAAGTTAATATTTACAACAATCCCTTAAAAATAAAAAAATAAAAATTTTTGGAAAATGGGCGTGGCCCCGCCCACGTTATGACTACAAAGGTGTATCTAGGTAACCGCTTTATCGATTTCTACCAATTTTGGTTCAATTATTTCATTAAGTCTAACTCGGCAACGTTGGAAATCGGGGAAAAAAGACCCCTGCAAAGTAGCGTTGAGAAGTTCACGAACTAGTTCGTATAATGAACTAGGCCATTGTATTGATCGAACAAACTAGTCCGAAATTTAAAATAAACTATTTGCTCTAGGTTGCTGTTTTTCTTAAATCTTACACAAATTAAATTATGTATGTGTGTACGTATATGTATTAAGTGGAAGCAAAATGCGAAAGGCCTACGCAGAAAAAAATTTCAATAAATATTGTTATATTAAGATTAAATAGCTTCTAAAAAATTTGAGTAAAAACTAAAAAATTTGATGACTATTTTTTTTTAATCTGTTAAATTTTTGTGAGTTATGCACAAGATTTTAACTTTGACTTATATGGCTTATGTTATACATTCAGCAATATCTTTATAAAAAATTAACCTATTAAACCGTCCTGGATATTTTTGAAATGGACAAAACCTACTCCCCCTAAAATATAGCTAGCTTTGATTTTTTTGCAATTACCGTTACGTTGGTGGAGCCCATAAATATCGGGCTTTAGGAGCCTAAGCCCAATGTGTGTACCAAATTTGGTCGAGATCGGTCAAG